CGATCTTTCTCACACACATGCACACACACATCGATCTCACACACACGCACACACACATCGATCTTTCTCACACACATGCACACACACATCGATCTTACACACACGCACACACACATCAATCTTACACGCACACACACATCGATCTTACACACACGCACACACACATCGATCTTTCTCACACACACGCACACACATCAATCTTTCTCACACACACGCACACACCAATAGATCTTTCTCACTCAAACACACACATCGATCTTACACACACACGCACACACACACTCATGCATAAAGAGCCATTTCAGTCAAGGAAATATATATAAAATACATTTATATGGAAATACATATACATAAAGGAAAAATTATTTGTTTAATGTCAATTCCATTAACTTTTCCAATGGTGAATTGTTCCATTCACTTTTAAAACTGGAAAGATGATTATCTTTCCATTTCAAATTATACTTACATAAGACTGCACTTCAGTGACACATTTAACAAAAGGTTAACATCTCAAAATGATCACTAATTCTGAAAGGGTTTGCAATAGTAAAAGGCATTAATATCTTTTCAATATAGTAAGCAAAACATACCTGAAAGACTGCAAAAGAATTCATGAACATGCCTAAATAATATCCTGTGTTATAAAGTTCCAACTCATGGACCACCTAAGGAGAAGATAAAATACACAGAATGAATGGATTCATAGCAACCTTCCACAACACTTCTTCCAAGTAACTTAGATAAGACTTAGCCTTCATGTTTACCACCTTGAAAATGACACAAATTGAGGAGCAGTGAATATGTAATTGCTTTGTTCATCATTCCGTCAGCCAAAACTACATTTCTTACCTACACTTACTTTTACTCTGTTCAACAATCCAGAGTTCCTAAGAAGTCTGGACTTGAGTTCTGCCAGAGAGAACTTACATGTTACTCTTTGACAAGACCAACAGGCAGAGGTCAGCATTAAAAATGACCCACACTTCTGGCAGAGATAAACAGGTTAACTTTGTTGAAGATTAATATAAACTCTGCAAAATGTCAGTGACCTACATTTACAAAAAAAAAAAAAAACCTCAAGAGGCAATTCACAAAAGTAGGAATATAAGTTATTAATAAGCAGAAAAATATTCAGCCTCACTGATAATCAAAGCAAGGCAAATGACAACATCCATGAGATACAGTTTTTTCAAAAGTGAGATATTGCATGTACCCCATTAGCAATGCTTTCTTTAAAAAGAATAGTATCATTGCTAGCAAGAATGGGTAAAATGGGCTAAAAGAGTGAGTAAAACTGTTGGTTCCTCAAAAAAATTAACATAGAATTAGAATATGACCCAGTAATTCCACTCCTAGGTATATACCCAAAAGAACTGAAAACAGTAACTCCAAGAGATACTTGCATGCCACTGTTCATTGCAGCATTAGTCACAACAGCCAACAAGGTGGAAACAACCTGTGTCCATCAGCAGAAAAATGGATAAACAAAATGTAGTGTATATACACAACACAATACTATTCAGCCATAAAAAGAAATGAACCTCTGAGGCTAGATGCAGTGGCTCACACCTGTAATCCCAGCACTTTGGGAGGCCAAGGCGGGCAATTCATGAGGTCAGGAGTTTGAGATCAGCCTGGCCGACATAGTGAAACCCTGTCTCTACTAAAAATACAAAAAATTAGCCGGGCGTGGTGGCGGGCACGTGTAGTCCCAACTACTCAGGAGGCTGAGGCAGGAGAATGGTTTGAACCCAGGAGGTGGAGGTTGCAGTGAGCCAAGATTGTGCCATTGCACTCCAGCCTGGGCGACAGAGCTAGACTCAGTCTCAAAAAAAAAAAGAAAGAAATGAAGCTCTGATACATGCTACAACATGGAAGAATCTTGAAAACACTGTGCTAAGTGAAATAAGCCAGACATAAAAGGGCAAATATTATATAAATCTAAAATATCTAGAATAGGTAAATTCATAAAGACAGAAGCAGACCAGAGGTTCCCAAGGGCTGTGGGGAGGGAGAGATGAGTAGTTATTGCTTAATGATTACAGAGTCTCTGTCTGGAGCCATGAAAATGTTTTGGAAATATTGGTGATGGTCATACAACATTGTGAAGTGATTAATGTCACTGAATTAAACACTTAAAATGGTAAAAACAGCAAATTTTATTTTATATATATTTAACTTCAATAAAAATCAAGTATTATACCTTTTTAGGTAATGATTTTGATACTTCTCTCTAATTTACATTAACCAAATTAAGACAAAGTCAGAATTTAAAAATCACAAAAAAAATCTAAGTTGAAAAAAACACATTCCAGCATAAAATTAAACACCTGCAACCACTATTTCTACAATGCTAACAACAACTACAGCTGCATCCACAGTAAGTAACTAGAACAGGCACCAATAAGAAAACAACAAAATAAGAAAAAATTTTCATAATGTCTCAACAAGCTGGCAAGTAGACAATGGAGCCAGAGCCAGGCATATTGGAGAGAAAAGGCTATAGTTCCATGACTCTAACTCTGTCACAAAATACAAACACATGAAGATTTGCTTCTGCTCTTGCTCAGACACCAATTCATAGAACTATTCAAGAAGCAGCATCTAAACAGCGGTTATCAGCACAAGACAAGAATGCCCTCTCTCACCACTCCTATTCAATATAGCACTAGAAGTTCTGGCCAGGGCAATCGGGCAAAAGAAAGAAATAAAGGGCATGCAAATAGGAAGAGAGGAAGTCAAACTATCCCTGTTTGCAGATGACATAATCCTATATCTAGAAAACCCCATAGTCTCAGCCCAAAAGCTTCTTAAACTGATAAACAACTTCAGGAAAGCCTCGATGTGTGAAAATCACTATCATTCCTATACACCAACAACATACAAGCAGAGAGCCAAATCAGAAATAAACTCTCATTTACAACTGCCACAAAAAGTATAAAATACTTAAGAATACAGCTAACTAGGGAGGTAAAAGGTCTCTACAAGGAGAACTACAAACCACTGCTCAAAGAAATCAGAGATGAACAAACCAATGGGAAAACATCCCATGCTCATGAATAGGAAGAATCAATATTGTTAAAATGGCCATACTGCCCAAAGTAATTTATGTATTCAATGTTATTCCTATTAAACTACTACATTCTTCACAGAACTAGAGAAAACTATTTTAAAATTCATATGGGACCAAAAAAGAGCTCGTATAGCCAAGACAATCCTAAGCAAAAAGAGCAAAGCTGGAGGCATCATGCTATCAGAGTTCAAACTGTACTACAAGGCTATAGTAACCAAAACAGCATGGTACTCACATAAAAACAGACACACAGAGCAATGGAACAGAATAGATAACCCAGAAATAAGACTGCACATCTACAACTATGTGATCTTCAACAAACCTGACAAAAACAAGCAATGGGGAAAGGATTCCCTATTCAATAAATGGTGCTGGGAGCAGAAGCCAGCTAGCCATATGCAGAAGATTGAAACTGGACCCCTTCCTTACACCATATACACAAAACTTAACTTAAGATGGATTAAAACTTAAATGTAAAACCCAAAACTATAAAAACCCTGGAAGACAACCTAGTCAATACCATTCAGGACATAGGCACAGCCAAAGATTTCATGACAGAGATGTCAAAAGCAATTGCAACAAACGCAAAAATTGACAAATGGGATCAAATTAAATGAAAGAGATCTGCACAGCAAAAGAAACTATCAACACAGCAGTAAACAACCTACAAAATGGGAGACAAGTTTTGCAAACTACTCATCTGACAAAGGTCTAATATCCAGCATCTGTAAGGAACTTAAACAAATTTACAAGAAAAAAAAAATTTTTTTGAGCCAGCAAAGGGGCCGGGCACAGTGGCTCATGCCTATAATCCCAGCACTTTGGGAAGCCAAGGCAGGCGGATCACCTGAGGTCAGGAGTTTGAGACCAGCCTGACCAACATAAATAAACCCCGTCTCTACTAAAAAATACAAAATTAGCTAGACATGGTGACACATGCCTGTAATTCCAGCTACTTGGGAGGCTGAGGCAGGAGAATCGCTTGAACCCGGAGATGGAGGTTGCGGTGAGCCAAGATCATGCCATTGCACTCCCGCCTGGGCAAAAAGAGGGAAACTCCATCTCCAAAAAAAAAAAAAAGTGAGCAAAGGAAATGAACCAACACTTTTCAATAGAAGTCATAGAAGTCATACATGTGGCCTACAATCATATGAGAAAAAGCTCAACATCACTGATCATTAGAGAAATGAAAATCAGAACCATAAAGAGTCCAAGTGCGGTGCTCACACCTGTAATCCCAGCACTTTGGGAGGCCAAAGCAGGAGATCACTTGAGGTCAGGAGTTTGAACCCAGCCTGTCCAACATGGTGAAATCCTGTCTCTATTGAAATATAAAACCAGCTGGGCGTGGTTGCTCATGCCTGTAATCCCAGCTACTTGGGAGACGGAGGCAGGAGAATCACTTGAACCCAGGAGGTGAAGGTTGTAGTGAGCCAAGATCACGTCACTGCACTCCAGTCTGGGTAACAGACCGAGATTTTGTCAAGCAAATTTTGCTAACAGACCATGCACGTGGTGGCTCATGCCTGTAATCCCAGCACTTTGGGAGGCCGAAGCAGATGGATCACAAAGCCAGGAGTTTGAGACCAGCTAGGCCAATATGGTGAAACCCATCTCTACTAAAATAAAATTTAAAAATTAGCCAGGCATGGTGGTGCACACCTGTAGTCCCGGCTACTCAGGAGGCTGAGGCAGGAGAATTGCTTAAACCCGGGAGGCAGAGGTTCCAGTGAGCCAAGATCACACCACCGAACTCCAGCCTGAGTAACAGAGTGAGACTTTGTTTCAAAAATAAATAAAATAAAATAAAAACACACAATGAGATACCATCTCACACCAATCAGAATGGATGGCTATCATTTAAAAGTCAAAAAAATAACAGATGCTGGTGAGGTTGTAGAGAAAAGGAATACTTATACACTGTTGGTAGGAGTGTTAATTAATTCAGCCATTGTACAAGACAATGTGACAATTCCTCAAAGATTTAAGACAGAAACACCATTTCAATACCAGCAATCCCATTACTGGGTATATATCCAAAGGAATATAAATCATTCTATTATAAAGATGTATGCATCCATATGTTCATTGCAGCACTATTCACAATAGCAAAGACATGGAATCAACCTAAATGTTCATCAATGATAGTACACGTACACCACAGAATACTAGGCAGCCATAAAGAACAAGATCATCTCCTTTGCAGGTACATGGATGGAGCTGGAGGTCATTATCCTTAGCAAACTAACGCAGGAACAGAAAACCAAATACCACATGTTCTCACTTATAAGTGGGAGTTAAATAATGAGAACACACGGACACATAGAGAGGAACAACACACAGTAGGGCTTGTCAGACAGTGGAGGGTGGGAGGAGGGAGAGGAACAGGAAAAACAACTAATGTGTACTAGGCTTAATACCTGTGTGATGAAATAATCTGTACAACAAGCCCCTATGACACAAGTTTGCCTATGTAACAAACCTGCACATGTACCCCTGAACTTAAAAGTTTAAATAAATAAATGAATAAACAAAAGATGGTTACAGGGGCAAGGGGAGAAGGAAGAAGAAAATGGGAATATGGACATCAAAGGATACAAAATAGCAGATATGTGGGATGAAAAAATGCAGTTATATAATCTACCACATGAGAGATATAGTTAATAGAATTCTGATATTTGCAGTTTTCATTAAATCAATTTTAACTTCTTTTGTCACAAAAATGTAGCTATGTGAAATGATAAATATGTAAATTTGCTTCACTACAGTAACCACTATACTGCCTATATGTATTCCACAACATCATGTTGCAAACCTCAAATATACACAATAAAATTTATTTTTAAAAAAAGAAAAAAGAAAAAGCAGCATCTATCTCATAAAGAAATCTTCCTGTTCTCACTGGCTCAATAAACAAAGCATTGTCAAAGCTGCAGCATAGGCTAACGACAAGAAGGCTAACATCTAAAATTACTCCTGGAAGATCTATATACTTAAATTATTCCAAGGCATTCAAGAGGCTATTGACAACACATGTAAATTTAACAAGAAAATAAAAGACGCCAAAACAGTCTACTACGACAGGCTCCTGACTCCCTCCTCCAGAACCAACTGGAGAAACAATAAAAGCAAGCAGGAAACTTCAACATGCACAATGAGAAAACCCCAGGAAGAGTGGCGGACATCTTGAATTGGTCTTGGGAGAAATTGCACAGCTTCAGTCTAAGGCAGAAGGCAGCCAGACACAGCAGCAGACATAGCAGTCAGCAAACAGGCTGGAGGAGAGGTTTTTAAATTTTGCCCTTATTTCCCTCCAGGGGGTTGCTCAGGACACACAGTCCTGGCAACTTCGCTGCCAAAATCAACAGCAGTAGCAGCTCAGACTGCCTGTGCAAGTATCCAAAAGATAATACCAGGTCAGCACCTCTGCCCTTCTAGTGTGGGAAAGTGAGGAAAACAGCAGACAGAACTATGTCCCTCAAGCATTCACTCTTCCTCTCGTCCTCCTCCAAACCCTCAGGGCTGGTGAATCATAACCTCAGGAGACCTTTTCTTACTGGTGCTCTTCTCCCCAAGGGTTTAAGAGTGAAACTCTGAATAGAGGCAGGCTGCAGAAAGGATTAAGAGTAATTCTCTAGTCCATGAGGCTAGTCCTCTCCCCTCAGGAGGGATTCACAGGACTTACACAGATTGGAACCTAATGCTCAGTCTTCCCAAATAGATATTATCCGAGGATCTGCCAAATCAACTAAACTTCCAAAGAGTATAAATACTGTAAAAGTAAGACATCCAACTAGACAACATATAGCATGTGACACAAAATTACTGAAAAGGTCAATTCAATAATTTAAAATACGCATATCAAATACACACAAGGAGATAATGGGAAATATTAGAATATAAAACAAAAACAAGAAACAAAGGAAAATGATAGATACTAAAAACAATAGCTGACATAAAAGACACAATATAAGAGATTAAAGTAGGATAAATACAGCTAATGAATGATCACTAAGCTGAATAGTCAACTGAGGAACTCTCCCAGAGAAACACAGAAAAGACAAAGAGTTAGAAAACATAAAACAAAAAACTAAGAGATATGCAGGATGGAAGTAAAAGTGTCAATTTCTAAATAACAAAAGTCCCAGAAGGAAAGAAAAAATAAAATGGAGAGGAAGAAATAATCAACACAGATTTCCACAATTAAAAAATGAAAGAACAACATAGATTGAAAGGGCAATCTATGATAACATGGAGCTAAAAATCTGTACACGAACAGAATGATCTGGCCAGAGTAGGAGGAGAAGGAAAAGACAGAGGTAGAGACCAAAAGGATATAGGAGCATACTAGATTCAAATATTGATAACCTTTAGAAACCAACAAGGATAAATTAATATGGGTACAGTTTAACTAACAGAGTAACAAAAATAGAATGCATAACTTCTAAATCAGCAAAACAAATTTAATCTAGCCCACGGAAAAAGAATCTAAATTTTAAAATATAAAAAAAGCAGAAAAAAGTCCCCATTAGAAAAAGAATTACCATACTTATAAAAGCTTATTAAAAGATGTTGGCTATTAGATTAGATTGAAAAACAAAAGCAATATGGTAATATGCTATTTAAAAGATACACTTAAAAACTTACAAAAGGTTGAAAATAAGAAATGTAAAAATACACCAGGAAAATATGAACCAAAAGAAAGCTGAGAAAGCAATCTTAATATCTGGAAAAAAAAATGTAAATATACATATATTATCTGTATATATAAATATACTTGTAAATATACACATATTATATGTATATATAAATATGCTTGTAAAATATATATATTACATGCATATGTATAAATGTAAATAGAGCACAGCACATCAGATGTGGTGTACATACACCTACACACATACAAACATACACATATGTAGAGAAGAAAAAAATGTAATTATATATTTACCAATGTATTTAGAAAGCTATAAAATAACAGATGCTATTATATTCAGTTAAATCAAATGCAAGATCTACAGACTTATAAAAATAATGTGAACTCAGGAAAAGTCAAAGAGAAAAAAATGACCAATTGGTTGTAAAACAAAAGTTTTCAAAAAAAAAAGAAAAGATTGAAAAAAATAGTTGTATAGACTGAAGAAAATGTACAATTTTTCACAAGTAAATTAAATTTTACAATATAATGACCAAATCAACCTAACTATGTATAACTTTCTTCCTGATGTATTGTTAATCACTCTACTGAATCCATTAATAGACATAAATTACACAATCTAGTTTACAACTGACAATGGTACACAAGAATATATCAAGAACATATAAATAAAAATCAAATGACTAATGAATATGGGATTCATTTATGCAATGCTAGATGTTCATATACTTCTTGGTTTATAAGTTTTCTGCAGAGTAACATGATTTCACCCCCTGAATATACTGTAAATTCCTGATTCAATGGGAACTGCAATTTTTTTTTTTTTTTTTTTTTTTTGAGACGGAGTCTCACTCTGTCGCCCAGGCTGGAGTGCAGTGACACGAACTTGGCTCACTGCAAGCTCCGCCTCCCAGGTTCACGCCATTCTCCTGTCTCAGCCCCTCAAGCAGCTGGCACTACAGGCGTCCACCAACACGCCCAGCTAATTTTTTGTATTTTTAGTAGAGACGGGGTTTCACTGTGTTAGCCAGGGTGATCTCAATCTCCTGACCTCGTGATCCGCCTGCCTCAGCCTCCCAAAGTGCTGGGATTACAGGCATAAGCCACCATGCCCGGCCCAATGGGAACTGTAATTAGTTATAACCATTATGTATAACCAAAATAGAACACGCTTCAAAAATTATCTAAAGCTCTCTTATCTAATGTAACCCAGAATTATGCAAGTCAATTTCCTAGTACTTCCTTGAGTGTCTTAAAATGTAGCATGAAAATGAAGGAAAACTATAAGTGGCATTTTTTATTGTATATATTTATGGAGTGCAGTGTGACATATTGATATTTGTATATACTGTGGAATGATTAAGCTAATTAACATATCTATTACCTTACATACCACATATTGATCATTTTTTGCGGTGAGAACATTTAAAATCTACTCTCTTAGCAATTTTCAAGTATATGGTACATTATCATTAACTATAGTCACCATGTTGTACCATAGGTCTCCAGAACTTATTCCTCCCATCTAACTTTAGGTGATAATTCTCATGAAAGACAGCAAGGACACTAACCACATAAGCTTCTTTCCAACATAACCATTACCATACAGATTATTTTTTATTTGGAAGCTTTGCTAATTATTGACTTACACATGCAAAGGAACTAATGAAATTTTCTTTAAATATTTAAAGTAATACAATAAAGTTTCTTTTTTCTCTTGTAATACGAATTTTCTTAATGAAAAAACAGCTAAACTCACATTTTCCATTGTAATATCATTAGAGGCATACATCAGATTCACACTTTTGTCAACAGCTACAATCCCAACTATGGAGTCAGGCTGTGTCACAGAGATCCTAAGCGAGACTTTCTCAGACGGTTCAGCTTTCACTTTACTCCAATATAGCTTTATCTAAAAAAGAGAGAAAGGAGGATTAACTTATTTCACTTTTTTAAAGCATATTTTTGCCAATAGCAGATCAATGGCTCAAAATATAGCAAAGATTCTACATTTGCCTTGGCTCAGGGATAATTCTAAAACCATACATAACCCTTCTCTAGGGAAAGGAATAAAAAAACTACTCCCAGAGTGTTTGCAAGTCATAGAACTTCTCACAGTGGTATAAATCTGAATTATTCTTCAATTCTGAATCTTTTTTCTTCCCTTTGTCCATCTCCCAGCCCTCAGATCCCAGCCAGTGCTGAGTAGAAGACAGCAGTGTCTAGCATACCTGGGGAAGGCCACTATACAAAGGAGAAACACAAAGGAGGATGCCTACGTGTTGGTGATGTGAACTTAGGTGTGAAAGCAAGGAAAGCTCCTCCGGGACTCACAGAACCACCCTGGACTGGGGGTGACGGGAGGCCTTTCCAAGGGAGGGGTGGTTAGAGCAAATACGAGTCAGGCCCTCATGCTCTGTGTCTCCATGGCCTTCTAAACTTCCTCACCATTACCCTCAGGAAAGCATGGTCCTGGACCTGCTAATCTAATACTTTATAAAGAGCATCAGTCATTGCATCCCCGCTGAACCAAATGGCCTTGTCATGAGGCCCCTTCCTACTGGGAATTTTCCTTTTTCATTTATTTTTTTTTTTTTATTTTTTTTGAGATGGAGTTTCACTCTTGTTGCCCAGGCTAGAGTGCAATGGCATGATCTCGGCTCACTGCAACCTCTGCCTCCTGGGTTCAAGAGATTCTCCTGCCTCAGCCTCCCAAGTAGCTGGGATTACAGGCACCCACCACCAAACCCAGCTAATTTCTGTATCTTTTTTAGTAGAGACAGGGTTTCATCTTTTTTAGTAGAGACAGGGTTTCATCATGTTGGTCAGGCTGATCTCCAACTCCTGACCTCAGGTGATCCGCCTGCCTCGGCCTCCCAAAGTGCTGGGATTACAGGTGTGAGCCACCGCGCCTGACCCTTACTGAGAATTTTCATTTCATCTAGCTCTATCTCAACATTCTGCTGTGCCAGTGATTATAATGTCTGACCAAGAGGGCCTTAACGTTCCCCTTAAGTTGACTCTACTTTATCAAGACAGGCCTCTTCCTAACTATAAGCCCCTGAGCTCCCTTTTCTTAGAGCATTTATTTTAGAAAACATGCAATTATAAATTCTTTCTCCAACCCTTTGAGATATAAATCTTCTCCCAGCCTCTGGGCAGTTTTACAGCCCAGGCATGTCTTTCTCAAGGACCTCGAGGCCATCCCTTTGAAGTATAATCATCAAGAAAGACAGAGTCCCAATTGATCTCAGTCTCTGTGGGAGGGTGGAAGCCTAACTTCAGTAAGTACTAATTAGCAAACACAGACTACCTAATCACATTGACCAACCTCCCAACAATGTCCTCCAGCACTTTTAGATGAGTTCACCCCAGCGCTTAAAAACTCTCCTGCCTTTTGTTTCAGCAGAGTTGAGTTTAATCTTTCTCTTCTATTGCAATAGTCTTGAATAAAGCCTTCCTTACCTGTTTAACTTGTCCAGTGCAATTTTTCTCTGACATGCCTCTCAAACCACTGTATGTAGGTTACTTTCTCCACCTACACACTAAAAGGTGGGGGAGAGGGAGCAGCATGTTCAAGACTCAGTCTTAGGCCTTATGCTTCTCACTCTGTACTTCAGAGCCCCATGGCTTCAACTTGCACTTCTGTGTGGATGATTTCTAAATCTACATCTCTTGCCCCTCCTACAGCTCATTCACTTATTCCATAGTTACTGAACATTAATAAACATTCACTAACTTTCTCTTGCTTAGACATACTCCATTTCCAATTATGTTGTTTCTTTATAAATGTGATGATTATCACATAAAAATAAGAGGAAGATATATCGTTGCAAATGGAACTGAAACTAATTTCCAATCTCTTATAGCTAAGAAATTGCTTGAAAGTATGCTATTAACATACTCTGCTTCCTCAAAGTCCATGATCTTTTACACTGTAACTAGCGTTAGAACCTGGTTTTGCTTTCTGAAATGTTTAAGCCTCCATAACTTCTACTTTAAAATTCACCTGTGTCAGGCAATTACTAGGATAACTAGAAGTCAAAAATTGTGCTCTAACACTAACAAAACATAGTGTTATCTTTGTAAGAACTCTTTTCACAAGCTAAAAAAAACAGAAGTTTATATTATATTTTAACAATCAAAGTGAGAGTAATAATTCTCAACAAAAGTAAAGTACAGGCCTGGCGCAGTGGCTCATGTCTGTAATCCCAGCACCTTGAGAGGCTGAGGCAGGTGGATCACCTGTTGCCCAGGAGACCAACCTGGGCAACACAGCAAAACCCTGTCTCTACCAAAATTACAAAAATTAGCCAGTCTCATAACCTAGTCTCAAAATATAAATAAACACAAATTTTTAAAAAAGAAGGTACAGATCAGTACTGTTACTTCTCAAATATTTTAACAAATAAAGGAAAAAGAAATAGAAGAACCATACTCTGCAAATCACTATTTAAAGCAATAATTTTTTACATAAGAGGACCAAGAAGGCAGCAGTTGTTAGTGAGAGCAATGGCTCATTCTGATATACATAAGATGATGCAATCAGGTTTCTTTTCAGAGCTGGGTTCCAAAGGGATTTCCTACTCAAGCTGGTCACATTGGGCTATAAAAGACACTGGTGCACTTGGAGACCAGACTCCACACGGGATCCTCACATGCAAGGTAATCAAGCTCATTGAAAAGTTGCCCTGGGCTAGTTTCCAGCTAATTAAATAGATGAATGAAAGCCCAGCTCTGCTTCCACATATTATCCTAGATGGCCTTACTCCCTCCCATACCCTTTATATCATCACTGCAATATCAACACCACACGAATTCCATGTTACCACTGGAATTTCGTTCCTGACAATATTAATTCAACCATTTGAAAAATTCTGAAACGGTTTCATTATCTGAGTTAAAGTCTTAAAAGACCAGAACCATAGTTTACAAATAGACTATCAGTCCCCAATAACTCCACAAGTGAAAATACATATGTAGTGCCAAACATTAAAAAGTTTAACCATAGTTCTAGAAATAGAATAATATAAATTTCTAACCAATTTGGTTTAATGATACTTTTCTAAAAAAAATTACATTTCTCAGACTTCACTAATATAAAATTTTCTTTTAAACATCATTACCTTAAATCTTACCTTATTTTTAAAAACAAGCTGAACAGGAATTTTTAGAACATCATTTATAATTTCCCCATCATCTTCAATATAATACACTATTACACAGGCTTTTGGAGTCCAAGAATTTTCTGGTGTTAAAGAGAAGATTGTTGAATTTTGTTTTCCTACAGCCACCAACTGTCCCCTGGATACTACCTGAAAAGAATAGTAGATGGGTTTAATTTATTGCCAAACCTAGTAGGATCTCAACTGAAACTAAATTAATCATAATTGTATGCATACACACAAATTCTTGACTTAAACCAGCTTTAAAATCTTTTTGAATGCAGGAAAACCTCTCTGACAAACACAGAGAGCATATACCGAGAAACAGAAAATGGTAAGATTAAAGTAATACTGATTGGAGCAACAGTAGCTTCATAGTCAAGAATCTATTTTTGGTTGGAAGGAATATAGGGCACCATTGGGAAAGTTGAATTAGCAAAATTACATGGTCATGGATAGCACTTTTTATTTTCTTTTTTGTTTTTCTTACATTGTATGATTTTCTATAATGAATATCTATTGCTTATCAAATAGAATTTTAAATCTTAAACATAAAACAAGATTTAGTTATCTATTTTAAATTGGAAATGCAAACATAGGTGAAGAAATAAAAAAGGTTTTTTATTTGATTTCAATGTAGAAAGGACAGGCTAAAAAGGTACGAGGCTGAGTTATAAAAATTAGTAAGTTTAGTGTAGATATAACGTAGATACCATTTAAAACCATTCTCAACCTAAATACCCATCAAAGGTGGACTGGATAAAGAAAATGTGGTACATATATAGTACGGAATACTATGCAGCTATAAAAAAGAATAAAATCATGTCCTTTGCAGGAACAAGGATGGAGCTGGAGGTCATTATCCTTAGCAAACTAATGCAGGAACAGAAAACCAAATACCACATGTTCTCACTTATAAGTGTGAGCTAAATGATGAGAACACATGGACACACAGAGGGGAACAATAGACACTGGGGCCTATGGGAGGGTGGAGGGTAGGAGGAGGGAGAGGATCAGGAAAAATAACTAATGGGTACTAGGCTTAATACCTGGGTAATGAAATAACCTGTACAACAAACCCCCATGACATGAGTTTAGTTATATAACAAATCTGCACATGTACCCCTGAACTTAAATGTGAATAAAAAGACGATTCTATAATAGATCATAAATTTAGATTCTATAAGTGATTACCATATAGCTTAACTCCTTCAATCGTTTGTTGCCACTAACCACCAACTCAAAAGGCGATCCCACCTAGAAAAAAAACTTAATTAATATGTACATATCAAAAGCAAGATAGTCCAATTATATTATAATTATCAAGTGAGTTGTAAGCATTACCTTTATATTTTCATCTCTTGTTTTTAGTTGGATGTATGTCTTACTAGGAGACTTAAACATACTATGAACTGCTATGCTACTTTTACTACCAAGAAAATAGGCCTGTAACAAAAGAAAAGGAGCTATAAATGTTCATTTTTAATAACACCTTGAGAAAACATGCTACCTGCTGAACAGTTATTAAAAAACAAATTTATTTTCACTTTTTTTAATGCAAGAAAAATACATTCACCAGACATTGGATTTTCATCATTTTATAGCTTATACTGTAAAGAAACTGATAGCTTTAAAACACAGGAAAGGTGTGTGTGTGTGTGTGTGTGTGTATGTGTGTGTGTGTGTGTATTCCTTTCAGTTCTTTCAGTTTCTGCCAAAATAAAATTTCAAATGACTGACCTCAAACCCTAGACTGGGGGTTTGAGGAACTTCTCCATCATATCTTCACATTGCTGTATTTTACTGTGCTCTTCAAAATGAACTTACAAGGAAAAATTTAGTCTAACCTTCAGTCACTGTCATTAAATTACTTTTACCACTCTCCTCCCTTTTGTAAAATAGAAACATGTGTCCCCTTCCTATGTACTTTCAGGTCTGACAGGTTGAGTGTCTACCACAAGATTACAACTGTAATGGTGTTGTTGCAGTGACACAATGATGGGAAACAGATGGCACCTTCAACTGTAGCTCACTGGAATCCTCCAGGATTGGGAATTCAATCTTAAAAGTTCCATTTTGGGGGACAGTATAATTTATTTTCTGAACAGTTTCCATTTTCTGATTTCCACTGTTAGATCCGCTCCAGTACTCAGTATAGTTTCCCTGTGTCACTGCTATGACCACATTATTTCTTCTTTCTTCAAGAGTCAGCTGGTTGCCATCAGCACGGGTTACCTTCACCTAATGGTCAAAACAAAACATCTTAAAAACTCAGAGGATTTAAATACAATTAAATACAGTTCCCGTCTGTAGTATTCTCATGAAATCGAACTCGCAAAAATTATTGATAGCACTATAATATCCAGATTCGGTGGCCTCTCTCTAGGAGGCATCCAACATCACTGAATACTCCCTTGTTTATATTACGGATTCCCTTACCTTCCATGGCTCTAAAACAAACCCCTTCACTTCCTACCTCTCTTTCTGCATCCTCTCAGTGTCCTTTTCGGTTCCTCTTCCCTCTCCTTAAATGTGGGAATTTTGGACATCTGTTCTTTTCTCTTCCTCCAAGGTCTCAGCACTCCTATGGCTTAGCTTGTCATCTCTGTGATTGCACCCTGAAGCCAAAATTCCCATCCTCACCTTGCTCTGGAGCTCATGCCCAACACCTCCAATTACCTGCAGGAAATTTCTACTTGGATATCCTAGACACTTCAAATTCACACATCTAAAATGAGCAACCATGTCATTTTCCTATTTTTGCTAACATCACAATTCTGCAAGACTTTACATTTCTGAATTTTCCCTCCCTCTCCCCCACCCCCACCCCCAACCAAATCCAATGAACACCAAAGTCCTAAGCTTCTCTCTTCCATCCTCTCCACTCCCACAGCTACCACCACAAGGCTGCCCATCCCCTTACTCCTGGGCTACTGCCTTCCTCCTGCACACAGCCTGAGCAGTCTCCCTCAAATACTGAGTGCACCCTGAACTTGCCAGCAGAGCTCGCCTCCCTGTCTCACTTCTTATCTTGCTCCCCACCTCCCACTCCCATGCCCAAGCATTTAAAATCCAACTAATCTTTTAAAAAACAGTTTAGACCGTCCTCTTCCATAAAGCATCCCATAATAACCTCCATGCCTATCCCACAGCCAACTCTCCCTCCCTGGACGCCCATGGTTTCACTCTACTCATTCAGAAATTACCATTTCCAGCTTCAATTTTTTTTAACTTACCTTTTCAAACTAAAGTAACATCACCGCAATCAGAAACTACCTGAAACAATAATTGACCCATTCAACAAGTGACCTCTCCTTTCTTCTTTCTTTCTTTCTTT